TAGAACAAATGTTACATCTTGATCTATTACTTAGTCATTAGATCTGTCCAAGTGCAATGCCTAGTTTAATAGTTTGTATAGGTCTAAGTATGCCTATAATATAGGCTACAATTTACATGATTTTATAACTGCAATTAGACCTAAAGTCTAGTACATTAGTTGGTGTAAGACATGATTTACAATCAGCCAATACAATTACAAACCACTACATTAAGCCTATAATGTTTATTAGATCTAGATCTAGGCTTTGCCTGTTGCATATATTGCCAATCTTGCACACCAGTTAATATGTTACATCAATCTCATATTTTCTTTTTGTTGAACATACACTTACTTGTACGGTGTACTCTAGGACGTGTATTTGATCTACAGATGAATGATGGAATAGTGTAATTTACTTCTGTACGTCAATTCGGTCTCACTGTATTTCAGTAGGCGGCTTTTAAAAGTTAAAACCGCAAGCGTTATACACACAAATAACGTAACACTGTGTCGTATTTACTTAACGTAGGGCAGTTGCGCTATATCCTAAGGGGAGGGCATAATTATTGATTAATAGGCATTATAGGCCAGAGGAAATTTTGCGCCCCTTTACACCTACGCCCGGAGGCCACTGTCCCCCTCTTGCTACGCCAATGAGTGGGTCCAAGGCCTTGTACGATAGAAGATATTGTATGCTATTACGTTTCTATTAAACGAAAGGTTTTTATAATAAAGCTTCATAATTGTAAACATGCAAAACTGTTTTATTACAGAAACGTAATGGAGTTCTATATCATATTTCAATGGAAAATTTAATTGATATGCCAATTTCCTGTCAACGTTTTTCAGTTTTGATAAGATAAACTTTCTTTTGCATTTGTTAGAAAATTAGTTATTTATCGCATTATTTTTTCAACTTTCGGTGCGGTCTGTTACACGGATTCTCAAACTTTTCAGTCTGGGACCTCGCTTGTGTGAAGGTGAACATTTCAGACGCCCTATGTATTAGGGAGCTAAAAATCAAAATAGAATACTGTCCTAAAAACAAGCCAAAAAAGTTTAAACGATTTTTTTTACGTACAGAATTAATGCATCGTTTTCTCCTAAATTCTAGTGAACTTACGATTTTACTTAGAATTATCAGTAAAATATTCTTCCTCGCTTCAAAAACCTCGAGACAGACTAGCTTTGTTTGTCTTTACAAAAATTACAAAATGAACAGTTTTCCCATGTAATAAGACATATTTGAAAAATATTCGTAGTTTTTTGTTTTTGTTGCATTTTAAATATGGCATCTGTTCACCTTCTTACTGGTCATTGGCTCAACACAAAGAATGTGGATGAAGTATTTAGCACACGGAAACAACTAAATTATATCGCTGAAGAGGGCGCTACAAACCTTTATCATTTAGCAATAACGTCTCATCTGAACTGAAACTGATCAGTATTGCAGGTAGAGTGCAAGTGTTCAAGGTTTATTTGTCATCACAGGATGTTACCACGACAACCGGTCAAACGTCTTGCTTTCAGCTTTGGACATCATCAG